GCCGTAGCACCACTGTCCTGACATCAGGACAGTGTTCAAATCTGGATCAGTTTTTATCAGATCCGTTGCAGCCCCTTTTTTAGAGATTTGGGTAAGGAGGAAAATAGAGAGGGTTGTGTTTTCTGACACTTGGTGAGTTCCCTGGAACACCGGGGACACATATTCATGTATAAAAGACGTACAAAAATGCATTTGGCATGATAGGTCCCCTTTAAAGGAGATAACAGACGTCAGAGTAGATCATAAAACGTCACAGAGCAAAAGGTTAGATATCTAGAAGAATTATTCCTTAACAGAACAATAAAGAATGGCCTGTGAGGTTTTCAAGTAATGGAAAGAGGGTCGAAACTAATATTGAAAAAAGGAGGATGAAAGAAATAATGAAACGTTTAAATAAAGCAACAATAAAGATACAAAAATAAAGGTAAAGATGGAGGAAAGGAAGAAGAGGGGCAAAGTGATAAAATAACAAATATTGCAGAAAGTATAGTAGAAGAGTGAAAGCTATGAAGAAAGACAAAGAGGATATGATAATAAGTGAGAATGGGGGAAAGTATGAGGGAAGAAAAAATTATGGAAAGCAAGAAAGTCTAGATGGGAAAGAGGTAGGAAGCTAAATAAAATAAAATCAATAGATATGCTCTTAAGGACAATAAGAGGAATGTGAGAAGCATTTTAGGATAGAAAACAACGTAGTAAGGAAGGAGAGAATGTATCCATAGAGACACATGTATACAGGCTCCATGATCAAACAGAAGAACAGCTCATCCACTAGTTCAGTCCCTAAGCTGAGGATCTGAAATAGCCGCATGTGAATATTTATATATGCCTATGTTCCCTTCCAAAGGCAAAGAGGCCAAGCAAAATTGATTTCTCTGTGTGAATCCCCGAAGAGTTGAGACTCAGCAATAGAAGAGCAGAAGAGAGGCAGGGAGAGTGAAAAGAAAGAAATAAAACAGTGCTAGAAAGAACAGTGTGAAACAAGCGGAAAACTGGGAAATGAGAAACGCCTTCAATGAATTGCAAATGTATGATGTTTCCACTAAACTGATGCATACAACATTTGTCCTGTACTCACTCGCTCTCAGAAGCCAATGTTCCCTCTACTTGATTTGATTTTCGTTACCGACGCCATCCAAGCACATGGCGTCCCATCATGCACCAGCTCACATGCCTTGCAGTACCCTTCTGTAAGCACCATTTAACAGCAGCCGTCTTTTCAGTACCATAACTCCGTCTGGCTTCATTACACACATTACAGCCGGATATCTGATTCTAATTAGGAAGAAGGTCAAAGTGTGGGGCTGTAATGGAGGAAAACTGACTCGCAGCCATGAACCCACAGGCCTAAATCCTGTTAGATAAGAAAAATCTAACAGCCTTTCTGCTCAAATCAAAACTTTCATCACAATCAATCACACTTTTACATTTAATTGCGTCTCATTTTACTATTTGTAGCCTGAACCTGCCATTCTGTGAAGTTCCATTATTCAATACATCTTCATCTTCTTAAAAAGGGTATCAAAAGTTAATGTGCACTTGAACAGTCAGCCGCAGTGAAAGACATTTTCAACCTTTCAGCAGCATAATCTGACACGTGGAAGTCATAATGACATACGCGGCTTTATCGTCTGTTGTGTCGGTAATGCTGAATCAAAACGTGTCAGTGTGTTTTCATCAGTTTAAGAGTCTTGCTGCAGCTTTATTGAATGTTTCATCATCCTGGATGTGTTAAATAAGAGAAGTGTCTGCATCTTCACCGCAACACGGCCCCCTCGGCTGTGTCAGATACAATATTTGTGTTGCTAACTAAACTTCTGCACTGTTCCCTTGTCGAAAAAAACAGATCAAACAAATCAATCGAGACACATAAATGACACTCGTTACCATGATGGTTCCCACCAGGATTAAATATAATTTATTATGTTTTTTTTTTATCTTACTGTGAACGAAAGTACTTAGCTTATTGAGAAAAAATGTTGGTGACCTGATGGTGGCAATATAGAAATATTCAGTGGGAGGTCACCAAAGTCATTGAAACTCATCTCCTGCATGAATGTCTGTAAAAAAAGTCATATTAATAAAATGTAGTAGTTTTGGGATATTCCCTGTGGATCAAAGTGGTGGAACAACCAACAGGCATGAAATCCCTCGAGCCACAGCGCTAGAACTGCTAAAATGTGTCATCCGTGGTCAATGGTTGTAAATTGTGTGTGGAAATGTTTGACTTGAACACCTTTGGCTGCACATGAACATGCCGTTATATCTCACAGCTCTGCCGGTCGTCCCCTGCAGGCTGCCCGCGGGGGACGACCTTCATGCGACTCTCTGCTGCCTCATCACCAGGGTGTTTTCAGTATTTTCCGTGGGAAACTCTACAGAAAATGCTCAACTGTCCTTCATTAAAAAGCACCAAGATCCTAAATCAGGTCAGACACAAGTCAAGCAGCAATGTCCACTGACCCGTGTAGACCGCTCACTTTGAGACCAAGGTGCAAACAGGAAAGCATCATCACGCCAAGAATCACCACAGTCTGAGTGCTCTTCAGTCTGACGCCGGTTACTTTAAGCTCCTCCCACTCAAAACCGTCCCTGAGGGATATGAAAATACTTTATTTTTTCCTACTTTTTCTCAGAAAGAGAAAAAAAAGTCTGGAACATCACCCAGAGCTCCTGCGCTAATGGGATCCTATCTATTATTTCTCAGTGCTGTGCTGTGCTGTGCTGGGTTCCTCGAGGAGACAGCGTCTGACTTTCAGTCCTCTACCTGTCAAAGATGCTGTCATGACTTAATTCCTACACCATTAAAACAGTTACTAAATCAGCCTACTATCACCTAAAGAACATATCTAGGATAAAAAGACTAATGTCACAGCAGGATTTGGAAAAACTTGTCCATGCTTTTATCTTCAGTAGACTCGACTACTGTAATGGTGTCTTTACAGGTCTCACAAAAAAATCTATTAGAAAGCTGCAGCTAATTCAGAACGCCGCTGCTCGAGTCCTCACTAACACTAAGAAAGTGGATCACATCACTCCTGTTCTGAAGTCCTTACACTGGCTTCCTGTGTGTCAAAGAATAGATTTCAAAATATTGCTGCTGGTTTATAAAGCTTTGAATGGTTTAGGCCCAAAATACATGTCTGACCTACTGCTAAATTATTAACCATCCAGAACTCTCAGGTCTTCAGGGACTGGTCAGCTTTCTGTCCCCAGAGTCAGAACTAAACATGGAGAAGCAGCGTTCAGTTATTATGCTCCAAATATCTGGAACAAACTCCCAGAAACCTGCAGGTCCGCTGCAACTCTTACTACTTTTAAATCCAGGGCCGAAGACTTTTGTTTTTGCCGCTGCTTTTAATTGAACTATTCATATCTTAAACTGCACTGTAACTTTTATCCATGTATTTTTTCTTTTAATGTTTATTTTATTATCTTTTATTTTTAATGACTGATTTTAAATGCCATTTTCTTAATGTCTTCCATTTTTGTAAAGCACTTTGAATTGCCTTGTGTTGAAAGGTGCTATATAAATAAACTTGCCTTGCCTTGCCTTACGGTACCATAAAACTTTCGATATGATTAATTATTTGCAGCTTTTTTTTTTTTTACTGTAGCAGTGAGTAATTCTCCTTTCAGTTTTGAGATAGTTACGTTCAGTTTTGTGGGATTGTTCATTTTTCCCTGTTTGCTGAGGGTGATTTTCTTTCTTTCGTCTTGTTATTCAGTTTGATGGTAAATAAAAGGCTTGATTGGCTAAACAGCAAAACTATACAGCAACTCTAAAAAGTAGAACGTGTAAATATAATATAAGCATTTACTGCATGAATTGAAATGTTTTCAACTTCCTCATTAAGGGTCCAACTGGATTTGCTCTGAAACTGCAACATCAGTCATGTCATGTCAAATAGAAGTTTTGTGTTTGTTTGACTTTGAGGTCAATTTTGTGGCAAGCTAGATAAATCACTGTGTTACATTTCATAATATGCATCAATATATTTGATTGAACTTTCCATTTTAAACTGGTTCTGAACACATAAATGTACTGACATAAACACACATGGGTATGGCAAACACAGCACACATATAGTCAGAAAATTCACACAGACTTGATTGGTGTGAATATAGAAGATGAAGAGTAGATATTTGACGTCTTTGCTGTGATCTCATATTTTCCACAAGCACACATCACGCTCAGCTCAGCAGAGATCACACAGTGATGATACACTTCCTTGAAAACCACATTAGATACAGAGCCAAGATATTATTTAGATATATGGATGCCGTGTGGTTATTCCCCTACAGAGTAACTCCAACCAGTGCAGGCAAATCCTAATTAGTGCACTGATATGGACTGATCTAAAACCAGAGGTCAACCTGATTTGCAACAGCAGGTTAAAACACATCACCTGCACACACAGTAATTATTCACTAGCTGACACAAGCACATGAACATCTCAAACATACTTATGGCTCAGACAATGATAAGCAGCAGGCCATCAACACATGGAAACAAGTGCATTATACTGAAACCATACAGTATGAAAGCATAAAAAATGCACCAGCCAAAACAATGAAAATAAATAAGACATAACAAGAAAGAAAATACATACAAATGCAGATAATGAACAGAAATAGACTGCAGCAGTAAACAGACACAAAGATATCAACCACAACAGATCAACACTTTAGCCCAACCAATACTGGATACAGAATTTCAAATATCAAATACCAAAATTCAATTTTAAGATAAATACATTCACAAAAACTCAGCCAAACTTCTTCGCAGCAGATGTATGAGCAAGAGTGTCAAAGTGTAATTTCATGACAAAGTAGTATATCCCAGCTGTATGAATTAATAAATAATACCATGCCATTTCACTTGGAATCAAATCAACTCTAGGACAACAACCAATGTCACCAGCAGCCTTATTGCCAAGCACACAAATCAAAGACATCCAATCATAGCATGCATGTTTTCATGGGAAAAGGCCACTTACCTTTGTGAAGTTGATCAGTGATGCTTCTGAGTCTCAGTGGTGCTTTCATCTTGGGACAAAAAGCTGATATGTCAACCATCAAGGAGAGAGGGGTCCAGCCATCAAGGACCAAAGCTGATTTTAATCCACAAAACCAGCCTGAAGGGACATGCTTAGACTTCGCAGGTAAGTGTCTTTTTAAATTAGTGTTTGTAACAGAGCTAGCAGGCAGAGCAGTTGAAAAGAGAGGCATGGCACAGCTAGTTTAAACTGCGAAAAGGTGCGTCTGCCAGGCTGCTGTTTCAGCCTTTCGTTTGTCACATGTTGCAGGAAACTAAATACATACTTTTAAAGGAGAACGTGTCCAACCGTTTTAATTGGCAACTGAATTTCACTCGCAGAAATTATAACTTTGAAATGTGTCCAGCTGTAGTGAACTTATATTAGCCATACACTTCATGATATAGGGCTACTTCCACGCGTTGGCCAAACTACAACTTTAACCGTATGTTTGGTCAAAGATAGTTTAATAAAACACGACACTCCACTCTGTTTCATTTTCATGTTTAAGTAATAAAGAGTGTCTTTTTGCCATTTACTGTATTCAAAAACACGAACAAAGTGGCCACTCTTTCATTATATAGACGATCTACGTGATAGCGTCAGTTCTTTACGGTTATTAGAAGAAAATGTCAAATCAAACAATTCAAAAGTAAAAGTGCTCATTGTTCAGATAATTGCTTCTTTAATAGGCTACATTATCATATTATTGGATGTTCTTTTGTGTCTACATGTAAGCAGCACTTATTGGTGTAGCTGGTCAAGTGCAGCTAATTTAAACAATTATAAATACTGTTAAGTGCATTACCATTGTATTATAATTAATAACCTCATTATAGTTTCCCAACATGCAAAGTAACTAGCGACAACAGCTTGTATGTAGTAAAAAAATAAGAATGTTCCCTCTGAAATTTCAAGCATATTGTAGCAGGGAATAGCAGTAGCACCTCAACATTGTTCTTGTAAGGTACCATTTTTGAGTAAATGAATGTACTTCTCTACGACTGTTATACAGAAATGATATGTCAGTGAATGTCAGACAGAAAACTTGCTTCATGTCCCAGAAGTTCACTTTTATCCAGATGACTTAAAGCATTGATCCACCTAAACATCATGCAACTAAATGTGTTTGCATTATTCATAGCTGTTGTATAATACTACGTAGATCATCAGGCGTTTGGTTCATTACAAATAATTGCAATGTATCTCCATGCATGACAGGTAAATTATAATATGTTTCTCTTTGTGTTCAGTCCTGAATGGCAGACTTCTGTTGAAAGTAACTCTCTCTTTGCCGGAGCTCCAGCACATCGAGAACAGTACAGAAATGGGTAGTGATCATCTGGTTGCAGAAGGCAAATGAACCATCTGTTGACATCATCTACTGCTCTGAAATCTATGAATGATTAAGAATCTGTATTCAGACCACACAGTGTGATGTTCAGATGTAATCCTCTTAGCACAAGGATCAATACTGTATCAAACCACTGTGAACTCTCTCATGAACTTGGCAGACCTTACCAGTATTGCACGTCTGATTTATTGGCACATATAACATAAAAATCTATAGATAATACAGAGAAAATTGACTGTATGAGAGAGGAATAAACAGCATGACAATATAAGTATACATTCCCAGACAGGGAGCAGCAGGGTTGTGAGTCTCTCAAAGTGCAGTGTGCAAATGTACAATAGGGTGCTCAGGCCTCAGAACACACAATAGTGAGACTGTCCTTCTTAAAGTGAAGAATGACTTTCGTCTGTCCGCAGACGCTGGATAATGTTCAGCTGTAATCCTCTTAGCCCCGAGTGCAGGTTTCAACTCTTCACCGCTCCATTTCGATCGGCTGTGTCAGAATCTGTCCGTAAGGTTACTTACATGGCTTCTGTTATTGTGTCCTACTTAACCGCTCGGGGTCAAAAGGCCAACACACTTATCATGCGTACGTCACATCACACACATGTATTGTTTTAGGAATATTGTAAATGTTTTAATCATTTATCATGTTATTCTAAATGTCTAGTAGTGCATATGTAATATAAAGCTGGTATGAAATGTGTGATGTTGTAGCATTAGGAATGTTGAGAGGGAATAAATGGAGCAGTCCTCATGAGAAGTAGATGATATTCTCAGGAATGCTTTCAATTAATGGCTTCTCTCTTTCTCTTATTAATTCAAGCCTAAGCATTCGGCAAATTAAAACCACATGGAGGGAGAGAGAACAATGGCAGAGTGTAGGTGGCTTGTGCCTTGAGCTTTTTGTGTGTGCGAGTGCACATTTCTAGTGTTCACATAATGACAGACAACACTCAGGAGATGGGAGAAAGCAGAGTGGGGGGAGAAAATAAGGAGGAACAAAAGAGTTTCTCGTCGTTCTCGTTCTTATTTTCCTCTCCTCACATCCCCACTCTGTTTATGTGACTTGTGTTGCAGATGACCTGATCCATCATGGTTTAATCTGTTTTTTATGAGCCTGTCTGAGCCGTGTGTGTGTGTGTGTGTGTGTGTGTGTGTGTGTGTGTGTGTGTGTGTGTGTGTGTGTGTGTGTGTGTGTGTGTGTGTGTGTGTGTGTGTGTGTGTGTGTGTGTGTGTGTGTGTGTGTGTGTGTGTGTGTGTGTGTGTGTGTGTGTGTGTGTGTGTGTGTGTGTGTGTGTGTGTGTGTGTGTGTGTGTGTGTGAGAGAGGCAGGGGGCTGATTACAACAAAGAATGTGGCATTTATTTATTTAATTCATCAATTCTCAAGTCGCAAAACTGCTCCGTTTGTCCTCAGAGATCAGGGCTGATATGGCATTCATGTAAGTTCTCAAGGCGAGAATTCAACATGTTCTACTGGTATTTCATTGACAAATCCTGTGCAGGGATGGTTGCCACGGTATTTATCATTATACAGATAATATTTATCTTCAGGGGACAGCTTACTTGTAGACCAGCAGAAAGTAGTTTAGAGTCTGGTGGATGGATCAAGCATGATACAGTATAAGTAATCTGATGTATCCTCACTGGCTCCAACACATAAACTCAATATATTACACATATTATATATTACCACTGTGTAAAACCAACGCCGTGTGCAACATCCGCAGTCACCCTACAGCATAAGAAATACGTTGTACAGTTCAACTTTTAAAATGAATTTGAATTCTTACATGACCATCCAAATAAACTAGAGTAGAAACCGTTGACTGGGGGAGTTTGGCTAAATCAGTTTTTAAAAACTGATTTAAATTCATGGATAGTAATCAGACTATTTCTAGTCTAGGGAGCCACATATTTAACCCCCCAAATTGCTGTCGGTGGGTCATTAGTTACAAACCCACAGAAGTTTATTTAAAATTCCAGTAAATATCCAATAGTTTCCAAAATATGTCCGGCTGAAATATTTGGGGAAATTAGCATAACATGAATCTTTCTTTTGATGGAAATATCCCATCCATAATAATTTGGACGTTGAATATTTCACTAGACATTATACAGATTTAATGAGAAGTTCAGTAACATGCATGACACTGTCAGACAGTGTGGAAAAAGAGGATTTACATTTTTTTTTTAACCTGTTCCACCCTGAGCCTGTTTTTCAGGTCTCAGGCTCGAAAATGACATTCCCAGAACAAATGACCATATCTTCCCTTCTAAAAGAGTTAAATTAATAATCTTTTTTCTCAAAGTAATGATAAACCTGTGAGTTGGATGTAGAAAAGTCAGAATCAATATAGATGTTTTTAATTTTAAAGAAAATTCATATTGAACATAGTAAGAAACTGTAAATTATAGTGTCCGTCCAAAAATTATTTTTTACTTATAGTGAAAACTACCCTTGGATGATGGGTTAGTAGACTAAAAGCTTTGGGAATCCAAAGTACAACATATAATAAGTACCCTGTATCAAGATTGATGCAAAACAAGTGAAATTTGACCTTTTTAGAGGTGGCCCCCCTTGGTCGATTTTGATGAATGAAATCTCTTTATAACCGCTAGAGCCAATGGAATCGAGGGAAAGTTCTACACACACCAACACATTAACAAATAATGAGTGAGAGTGACGCGTGGCCAAAACCGGAAGCTGCATGGCTACCATTAGCAGCTAACTTTTTTTCTCCGATTTGTACATAAAAATGGAATTATGGATTATAAATAATTTTTTCAAAGCGACAGATACATTATTAACCTATGGATCAACAGATTCAGCCGCGTTTTTTCTCGTTTTAATGCCATGGAACACGTCTTTTGATCAGATTGACAGCTACGGTGAGACGATCTCCCGTAAAAGCTCCGTAAAGGTACGTGTTGTGATGTCTGTGTTTGCTTCCCCTGTCGCGAGTTCGGATCGCTCAGTGATGATACTATATCTATATAATCTGTGGAGTCTCAGCTTTAATCGGATATATTGTATGTGCAGTTACGATAAGTAATAAGGGTATCTTTATCTTGAGTTCTGTGCTAAGTGCGTTAGCATTTTTTTGCTTAGTGCTAATTCAGAGTCTTGGTATTACCCTTGTGTTTTGTTTTGGTAAAAATGGTTCATATCTTCAGTTAGCTGAGATTCTTCCCGTTAATCTGGTGCTACACATTAATAGTTTCATAAATGTTAAGAAGCCCTGAGACACAGTCTCGAAAAAAAACGGTGGGGGGGGTCCACTCGTCCTTAAGAGGTTAAACTGTGTTTGCAGGGTTAGATATGTCAGAACAAAACACAATGTGTCAAATAAATATCTGTGGTGAAAGAAGATTATACCCTGCGTTATCTTGGTGCTGTATTGACCAAAATGGTGAAACATCATGATTTAGAAACATCTCTAGAATATATTAATAACAGAGAAAACTGAATTGATTTTTTTAATCTTTTATCACGCCTTCATTTTCCTTTATGAAACCGAACCTTAACTCACAATGTGTTCAAACAGGCACCTTATGATAAGCAGAAGCTGCAGAGAACCCTGTGTTCTTGCTCCGAAAACATAAACAACATTATCAATTTAAATATGACTCAGCTGTAAGAGCTTGCCTTAAATGTCTTTATCGTCTGCAACAGAGTGAAAAGGGATATATCTGGATATGGAGGCAATCTATCCATAACGGACTGGCTCATGCATTAGTAAAAACTCCCCTGAAAAAAGCGATTTAAAACTCATTGTCACTCAGTGTTTCTCTCTGAAGGTTTTCTCAGCTCCCTGTGTGAGAGCCCATTAATATCTGAAAAAAAGTGATGGAATTGAAATCTTTTTTTCTTCTATTTTTTTTCTTTCTAACTGGGCAGAAAAGCTGTCAGCAGATTATGTGGGAGGACAGCAAGTTGACAAGATTTGTCAGTTTCCCTACCTCCCTCCTGCTCACACACACACACACACACACACACACACACACACACACACACACACACACACACACACACACACACACACA